TGTAGCTGGGTTTGTTAATTACTATTTTTCAAGTAAACTCTTGTATCTTATGTACAGCCCCAAATAGTTTGTGTTCTAAACAACAGTTTTTCCCTGGTTTTCTGCTTGCTGATCAGAACCTTTTCCATCCTTGTTTTACTTCTTTTTCTAAATATGTTTTTACAGGACAAAACTAAAGCAACCAAAAACAAACCAACCCCAGGATTAAACTGATTTTCCATATGCAGATCCGGGTCTTATTAACGTATTTTATGTCAATCTAATACTGTTGACAAATATTAGGATAAATTCAGACATTTCTGTTGTCTTCACCAGTAAAAGGATTACTAAAACATGTATTGAAGTCAGAAGATGACATCAGGTGAAAGCTTAATCATTAGATCAACAACAGCAAGTGGACATTTTAATCTATCGTCACTCACAATTTACATGCTTAAATCAAAATCTGCTGTTCTCAAAGCCAGGTGTCATGCAGTGTTAGAGATGCCCAAAGCCTCTGGGATCCTTAAGTTTTGATTTCAAAGCCTCCCATGGCTCCACAACTGCTCTGAAACATTCTCAGGAGTGCCTGAGGTGAATGCTCTGCAGCCTACCTCAGACCTAAGCACTTCTAGGACCTTCAAATCAGATCTCTCTTACTGCTGTGCCTGGAGAAGCTGATACTCCCAGAGCATATCTAGGAAACAGGGCTGAGCTGAACATTTTTGCCTGAAGAATTTCAAACTGACTTCTCTATCTCCTGTTCCCAGAGTGTACCTGGACTGAATCTGCATGGAGTAACCAAGCATTTCTCAGACTTGAAAGAAAGAGCGTGTGTGTGTTTCTTTGAGGTTCACTGGTCTGTTAGCCACTTCAGTCATCTGGGAAAGGAAAAGTCTGGATACCTGTCCCAGTAGTTATTTGATAAAAGCGAAGTAGATGCTTGAACCAATACACACAATGCTGGAACCAATACACACAATGCTGAGCATCCAAAACACTGTGCTACAGAGTCATGTTGTCTTGTGTGCTCAATTCCAGGATCAGCAGGAGGGTATTCTCTCCTGCAGCCTGTTCTCAGTCCTCAGATCCTAAATTGACTGGTGACCTTCTGACAGGTGAGGAAACTTTCTGCCCTCTCAGGTTATGTAGGTTTTGTCTAACCTGGGCTTGTATTCTGACCACTGTGCCTTGGCACAGGCTTTTCCTAAGGTCTACGGTTTGTGTTAAAAATGAGCACTCCCCTCCCCTGACTCTTATGCCACCATTTAAGCACTTAGTTCCAGGAATTTAGCATGAATTTGCAAGACTTTCAAAGTAAAGCTAGTTATTTTGATATGAATATTTACACTACCTGAAATCTTGAGGGAGAGAAGAATTAGGATCTGTCTTCAGTCAGGATCTGTGGTGGTCTGTGAGGCAATGAATAGTTTTGGAAATGTAGAAGTGTTTGCACCTCCCTTTTCTTCTCTACATCCTCTTCTTGTATTAATGTGCATGTTCCCTCATTTATTCCTTTACACAAGTTTGATTAACAGTTTTCGTGGTTTACTTTGCTCTTATCTGTGTAACTTAGATTAAAACTGCATTGATGAATTTGCTTTGCAATCATTATATGTCTTTTCTGCTGTATTTATGGTTAGTTAGGAATGGCCTCTGCCCATTAGTATGACACATGCAGAGTAAACTAATTACCAGCTTGCAGTCCGCCCATGTGTAAAATGCATCATTTTAAAGTGTACAAGTCCTATTTTGAACTAGAATTACAATTTTGTGCTTATATTCACTTCAAATCTGACTGGTAAGTATGCACACAATGGTTCAAGAGGCATGATACACATGCGTCTTTTTTTATGCATTTTGGTTTTAAGCATGTGCAGGTTTTGTGCCTGGAATATCCGTCTTATTTTCTTGCTTTATAAATGCATTAGACTCTATTATGTTCAGTTATGTGCTTAAGAAACATTTCTGCTATGCATCTGAAACTGCTGTTGTCTATTTTTTAGCTAAATAAATAAGAAAGAAAAACAAACATCAGTTAGTGATACTACAAGCTATAAAGATTGGCCAAAAATACAGGAAAATGAAGAAAGAGTACCCAAACTGTGTAGTCACTCCTTGTGGTATATTCCATCTGCTGCAAGATCCTGTTTAGCAAGAGAGAGTGGAGTTTCAAAGGGGAGCAAACTGGCCAAAGAAGAGATGCTCTTGGTTTTGCTGTGCCAAATGGAAATAGCTAGAGGAAATAGTGAATTGCTGCAACCAGAATGGTAGGAACAAAGTTTCACAGCATCACAACAACTGGCCTGTTGATCTCAAGGGTTTGACCTCTGACAAATGGTCATAGAAAGTCTTTTGCTAAAACTGGCATACTGATGAAGTAATTTTGGTCTTTTTCAAAGCCGTCTTTCGTCCCCATCTTGCACAGCATGGATGTGAGATCTTTCTGTCTGTCTGATGACACTCCCTGACACTCCCATACCTGTACTCTGTAAATGGTCCACTCTGAGTGGGCCATTTGGGCATTTATTAAAGATCAGTTCTCTTTCAGTTACATCTAGTAAAAAGGAGCACGGTTTAAAATCAGTGCTAGACTAAGTCCAGGTACAGATTTTTACTCTGCAGGAAGTGCCATTGAGCTGTGTCCTGCAGGAACACTGGAAGGTGTGCTCTTTGGCATCATCTTCCAAGCAAAGCTGAAACTGGGAGTAGCTTGGTACCAAAAGCAAGCACTTCTTGACACTTTGCACTTCTCACCAGCTGGCAGACACTGTTCTGTAGCTCCCCAGAGACCCTTCAGAGGTATTGCTTTGCAGAGCCTTGCAGTGTGGTATGAGAGAGGGGGTGCACAGAAATTAGCATGGAAAGACCTTTCAATCCGTTTGGCATGGAACTCTTCCCATTTCTTTGGCCAACTTTTTCTCTTACATGAAGTGACTCTTCAAACTGGTTATACACAGTTTAGGAGTTCCCCGTTATTACTTATTGTTGAAGACACACAGCAGAGAGATAGGATTAACATGATACAAGGCTAAGAATTAACATGCTTACCACCCTGATGAGTCTTAGCTGTCCACGCATTACTCAAGTGGAGGAGGGCTGGTCTTTTCTGCTCCCTAGAAGAGGCTCAGCCTCAATGTTGCTAGTTACTGCCTTTCAGTTCTTAATTTTTAAAAAATTGAGATTTTTATACCTCCTTATGCAAGTGTTTTTCCTCCTGAAGCCTTGTTATGCTGCCTATTCTATCCTGACAATAACTTCTCTCTGTGTGTTTTTACTTTCCTGTTTTACATGGCCTTTTTTTGTGTGCTTTTCCATACTTAAACAACAAACTTCTTAGTAAAGCTGAGTCAATAGCACGCAACTGGGCTACATCAAATTGGATCCTGGATGACAGACAGCTGAACCCTGAGCTGAAGGTTACAGGCAAGGGAGGACACTGATTGTAGAAGCAGCAGTTTGTACAGGGAAGATATAGGTATTCTTTGTTGGGTGGAGATGTATTTCCAAATAGAATACCTTTTGTGGAGGTGGAGTGAGTTGTAGTTAGAGGTGGAATTTTGCTAAGACTAAATGTTTTTTACAGAAATTCCCTCCTGTATTCACATCTTGCCTTAGATAATGTTCTCTGATGAGTGGTTAGAGTACCACAAAGGCTACAAAACTTTTTGCTATTCCTTATGTCCACAGAAAAGCACAACTGCTGCCCTCCAAAGCCAATGGAGGCAACCAAAGTTGCCATTACAGCATTGATTGTTCACTGTTCTACATGGACGAAAGGGACGTTTGGAAGGTGCTCTTCTGGGCTATAGGCTCTAGTCAGACTTTTTATTAATAGTGTGTTGTGACAGGTATGTTTAGTAAATGCCTAGAATAACACATTGAATAACAATGTTTTGAAGCCTAGTGGAAGTAAGACACTAGTGTATTAAAGTGGCTTAGTTTTGTCAATTGAGATGATGTGGTGGTTGACTCGGAATGGCAAGAGTGGAAACATGCTCCAGCCATGCACCTTACAGGATGCTTTAAAAGAACCAGATAAGTCAGTGTCCTAAATAACACAAACACAACTCTGAGTTAATTTATTGTATTATATGCAGATCATGGTAAAATTATGAAGTAAAGCATCAAACAAAATCTCACTGGTGTTTCTATCAATACTATGACTATCTTTGCTGCGATGCACTCATAAGTTGCAAATCATACACTGGTCAATAATACAAGTAGCAAGGAAGCTGTGCAGATATTAGCCAGGAAACAAGTATAATTAGGTAAAATTAAAAAGAGGGAGCAGATTTGAATTCTGATGTTTTAGATTGCTTATCAATAAAAGGTAGCAAGAAGGCATGTTGCTTATAGTTTTCTTGGCATTTTTGCTGATTGGAACTCTTGTCAACCTTAAACTACAAAGTTGAGAAAAATGAGGAAAAATGCAAGGAGATTAGAAGTCAGCAATTAAATGTTAAGGGCTGGACTATTTGGCTTCACTGCCTTGTTTTTTCATGAAGCTTCAGGGGCAGGAGAGGAGGAAGGTAATGTGTCTGTATACAGTGGTAAGACAGAAGAAGGTAAGGAGTATTCTGAGATTATTCTGGGTTTGTATTAATTATTTTTTTTTAATTTCTAGCAGTTTAGTTTTCCTCTCTGGGAGGTTCAAGAGGGCAAACTGCATTTCCTTTGAAGTCAGATTTGGCATAAGGCTGGGTGATAGCCTGTGTGCAGAGAGCTTTTATGGCTCCACCTTACTCTCAAATAACAAAGCCGGAAGAGCAGGTTTGATGCAAGGGAGCAAAATTCTGCACTTTGTTTTCTGTGGAGGGCTGTCTGATTAGGACAATGGAAAGGAGCAGTAGAGGGGTGGTCTTTGAGGCATAGGGTGGTTTCTGGGTGCTGCCTTACTTGGGAGGGAAGAAAAAGAACATAGACTTTCAGTACATATGGCTACATCACTTAAGGTTGAGCTTTTAACACTGCAGTTAACACTGCAGCACCTTGGGTGCTGTCTGGGAGCAAGTAATAATTCATTCTGGGGGAGAGCAGAATCTGCCAAAGAAGAGGATGCTCTTGGATTTGTTGTGTCTGATGAAGAAATGGAAAGGGTGGTCAGCCTTAAATTTCAGAACATGGACAGTCGGTAAACTTGTTACTGTTACAGTTACAGTAGCAGCAGCTGCCTCAGTGCCTTTCTCACCAACTGTGACAAAAGACTTGTGAAGAATTTTGGAGATGAACACATCACCCTTCTCAGCCATTCCACTGAAATCAGCATTGCTGCTAAAGGCACTGCGCATGCCCATGCTCTTCAGATTATCATTGAGTTCGTATCTCTCCTCCAGTGTGAACTTAGGTATGTACAGATCCACAAGAGTTTCAGTCATCTTCTTGGAATCAGTCCATTCAGACAGCTTCTCATACGTCAGTTCTCTTTCCAGCTATCATTTAAGAAAGAGAAGGAATTTGATGTTTGCAAGGGAAAAAACATTTGACAATGAATTAGTCAATTTCATGGCGATTTAATGAATGAAACAAATTTTGAATGGCAAATTTAACATTCAGCTGAAAGCATGAAATATAGACTGCTTTCACTAATCATCAGAGGCAAGGTATGCAATAAATACCTGAGACTTAATTGCTGCAAAGTTTCGAGAACCACTCCTCCCAAATTCCTTGCAAAAGAAAGACAGGGCACTCAACAGCTGCTATCCCCTAAGGCCGCTCTTTCATAGAATCATAGAATCAACTAGCTTGCAAAAGGCCCTTAAGATCATCAAGTCCACCACTAAACCATGTCAGCACCATGTGCTGATGTGAAGGAAGTTACTGGGATATTGCCAGCAGCGTAGCAAATGGTTTGGTCCAGTTCCATAGAAACAAGTGTTAATATTGCACCTATTTCCTTGGCAATTTTAAAGCAGACTGCTTCCAGCAAAATCTTTCACTGCTACTCTCTGCCCTCGGCCTTATGTTACCAGGGTTCAGCTCAGATCAAATGAAGGAGAGCAATGGCAGGTATTCTTGACGTAATAGAGGCCAAGAATTTAAATGTCTTGCAATTGCAGTAACTACAGTGGCAGATCTCATTATTATAGCAAATCAGTCACATCAAAATCCTAGTTTTTCAGGCAGCAAACAAATGCATGTGGGGCAAAGAGAACGAGAACATGATGGGTAGTAAACTTCCAGGTCATGGAGAAGAGGTGCCTGTTAACTCTGGAGGAAGCTATGACTGCTTGTGCAGTACTGTCACTCCTGAATGCACAATGAAAGGAGATTTAACCCTTACAGATCATGTAGGATTGGGTGTCAGTCGTGGGACTGTAAAGAGCTAAGCATCTCATTATGCACAGTGTTGACTGTTTTCAGTTACTACCAAACTAAGGGCACTCAGTGTGGAGGAACTTTTTTGGCATTAGATAAGTATTAAAAGAAATTAATTCAGCTATTGAGGACATTAAAGAGCATTTCCTCAGAGGGCAAAGTACAGCTGCCAGCTTGTCTTTTTTTTTTAGTGGCTGAGTGGTGATACAAAATGGATGTAGCACACTTTTTTACCTGTTCAAGACCTGTAGTGGTGTCTTTGATGTCATCAGGAAGGAGAATGAACATACTGAGTTCATGTTTCACATATGGCAACTCAATTATCTTGAAATTCAATGTTTCCATGATGAGAACTGGAAATGTATTTCTCATGCACATCATCTTCACAGGCTTGGTCTTGTTCTGTGGAGTATTTATTTATAAGTAAGAAATCATTTCTTGAAAGGAAGGATGACAGTGACTCAGTGCAGTGGACGGAGAGGGCACTTTTGTAAGCAATTTTTACAACAGTGATTTGTCATTCATTTCCAAAGCTTTTCTCGACTAGACAGTATTTCTTATGTTGGTGTTTGTCCCAGAACATTTTGCTGGGGGCTGAACTGACTGATTTTTCTTTTCTCCCCAAAACATGCAGAGCAGCCCACAGAAGAGAGTTAGAAATGTCTGCTGGGATTAGGGGGATGGAGCAGCTATGGGATATGGTCTTACAACACTACAACAGAGAAACAGCTATGGTTTAAGAGGATGAGTTTTTGCACTTCTTCTGTGGCCTTCTCTCTGGCAATAAAAAGAGCCATTTGCTCTTTATGTCACAGCCGTTAACAGAAGATGACACTGTTGTCTGAACAAAGAGGCTCAAAGAGGGATATTTCTGGCAAGCAGTCGCCTTTGCAGGAGTAAGTAACCTCTCTTTACATCTGTAGCCCTTCATTCAAGGGAGCAACCATTGTATACATGCTAATCAGAAAGCAGAAGCTATACAGTTGGTGGAAATTGCACAGAACTCCTGTCTTTTGGTGGAAATTCATTGACACCTCTTCTGGATACAGCCACTCACATTTCTTCTAGTCTTGCCCAACCATGCAGCCATTCAGGGTACCCTGTGCCAGCTGTATTGGGGCAGGCATGTTTGTGCCTAGCTAGGCTGCGCAGCACAGAGGCCTGGGTACATCGCTCACCTATGACATGGCATGTAGCTCCTGCCCATGAAGCTTGGAGTCTCAAAATCGTGTTTTTACAATCTAGCCCTATTAGCACTGTTTTAAAAAAAGGTCTTAAGTGACTCTAGTGCTTCTGGAAATGGTCGCTGTTACCTGGAGCTCATTAACATTCACCTGAGCAGCATCTTAATGTTGCAGTGAGCTGAGCACTGGCACATTTTGCTGTAACCAGCTTTTCACAGAGAGCCTAGTTACTACAGGGATACCTAAAAGACTTATGAAATGGAAAGATTTCAGCAGTAGCTGTTGTCACCACGCTGTTTACGGTAAGAAGATTACCGGAGGAACTTACCTTGCTCAGTCGGAAGGGTTGCAGAACCGTATTCCCTTCCTGAAATTTCACTTCCCATTCTGCCTTGAAGTAAACAGCATTTACTAGGATCAGCTTGGTGGAGGATGACACTTCTCGTGGACCCAGCAAATTCTTGATTTTGCCTTTTGAAATCAGAAGAGTCGGGTTTACTCCAGCGTAACACAGTGAGGACATGTTTTACTGGCTTTTCTCTCAGTTCAACTCCTTAGTGAAAAAGTCCATGCCTCAATGCTGTACTCCCTAAAATACTCCCCTGACAGAAATCAATTAGCTTGTTTAAGTTTCTAAAGCTGTTTGCTGCCTGATTCTCCTGGCTAGCTGACAGAGATTGACTTCTTTCCCAGAAAATGTCACAGCTTCATGATAAGCAGCTAGAAGCAGGAAGCCATATACTGCCTCACCAGCTTGTTACACCAGGTAAAAGGAGACTAGCACCTCTGGCTAGTGCAGGGTGGTACAGCTGGGTAAGCATCCCCACCTGCTTTGGAGCACACTAGTAGGCAGACGTGTTTCTCCCCTCTGTCTTCTCTGCCTGTGGTGCATGGGTGCAGCACCAGCGCAGCAGTTGTGCTTGAGGACCAGCTGATGAAAAGCAGAGCAGAATTGACGGGAGTCTCCCCAGGGAGCTCACTGAGGTCTGGATCAGGTATCTGAAGCTGCTTAAGTGTGCTGCCCGTTCTCTGTCCTCCCACTGCATCTCTGCTCACTGTCCACATTGCCAGGCATGACCTGGCTGCTGCAGTAGCATGTGGAGAAGCAAGGGCACCTGCCCAAAGGAAATGGCAGGCTGACTTAATAAGAGAGGAAAGATGTTGGGGTTGAGTTCAGCTTACCCTCAGTTTGTTTTTCAACCCAAGTGTTAATTTCCTTTCTGGATTGTTCCAATGCTGTCTTAAAGCTAACCTTGTGTGGCTCTCCTTTGTAGTATTTCTTACTGAGCTGTATGTATACCTGAAAAATAAAACACACACGTATAAAGAAGTTAGTTCTATACTATACTGGATTTTTCAGTCCCAAAGGGAAGTTTTTAGCTTTTGGACTTCTTGATAGATTTGTGGGTCTAGAGTACTGCAGGCTCTTGTTTGTTACACTCTGTTAGACTATGAATTAACAGTTAAGAAATAACCAAAGAACAGAATGTTCACTTCTTTTGTTCCCACTTTCATTTGGAAAAGCAAGAAAGACTGTGCACATCCCATGGATGTGCTTATTTTAATACCTCGTTAATAATCTTATATGTCAGGGGTTCCAGTAATAAGGACATGTTGTATGAAAAGGCATCCCTACACTGTAGTCAAAGGGCAGTGCATCCTTAAACACCATGAGCAAACCAACTGATATTTTCCACATAAGTGTATCACTGGAATCCAGGGCTTTTATTTACAGTATTCAGGGACAGCTTAAAACCTGATCTACTAATGGCAGGCAATTAAAATGAGAAATATTTTTTGCACTTTTTCTTACTCCTCACTGAGATTTGACTTACAGGCAATAATGGGAAAGTTTTTTCCACGTAAATGCGGTTGGCAGTTTTCAGTGAGTAAGTGCTTCTGGGTTTGTTGATGGCAGTCAGGAGCTCTTTGAAGCCAGAGTGAGTATCTTCATCTTGCTTGTGCTCAGGATCCTTGGAAAGAAAAACCATACATTCAGCAATTGCATTTTTGAATGAAGTTTTCAAAACACACTAAGCGATGTATGTGGGAGAGGGATTTGGGTTTCACTCTCTTCCTTTTTATTTTTCTAAGTTCACCATCACTGCTATTTGCAGGGCTTTCTTTCTGACTGGATTAACTGATTTGCCATATAGCAAACCTTCCAGACTATCCCAATGACTTGCCCTTCCTTGCTCCTCCAAATCTGAGTGAGTGAAAGGAACAGAACCTGAACCTGTTGTGAAGTATGTTGGGGTTTATAATTTAGAGAGGGGAGCAGTTAAGAAATATGGGACTTCTAAAGCTGTATTTGGGTATTTTGATTCTCAAGTTTCTTTATCTTGGAATTTCAGTTTTAATAGATACCATTTTTCTTCTCTTCGGTCTCCCCCGAGAAGGCCTGGCCACAGAAGAAGAGCCTTCAGATCTTGCTGCTTGAGTGAAATGAAGAACCTGCAAGCAGAGTTTCCGAAGGTAAGAAATAGGCAGAAGGAACTGGTGTGACTTAAAGCCAAACAGGGATCAAATGGTTGTCTTCTGTTGCTCCTTATGATAACTCATTGTGCTACCTGGTGCTTAGGTGACTAATCAAAGGGATGATGAAGCTGTAGTATACATAAATCCCACAGAGTAAGAATGGGTGGCACAGTCCTCCTCCCACAGCATCGACACAGTGCTACTGTCTGCATGCTGCAAGGCTGAACTCCCTTCCACTGCTGTTGCTCTCAGCAACAGCAGTGTGTTTGTGCAAATCCAAACGGTTCTTCCCAAGATAATGGTACTAAGGCATCTGAAAGGGAATAACCCACATGTGACACAATCATAAAATCACAGGATGAATTAGAAGGTGTAGAATAATTTAGAAGCCAGGCTCAGAGAACCTCTGTGCTCAGCGTGCGATACCCACACGACACTTTCTCTTAGTGGAGAAGTGAGGGATCTGCTACGAAATTAATAAAATTTACCATTCACTTGATACATACTCTGATTTGCCTTGGTTTCTTGTCATTGTGGTGGCAATTTTTTCTATCTAACACTGAATTTTGCAAGCCAGCGTAGGAGCCAGGTATTGTGTGGGGTGTATGCTTCATAGAGCAACCTACCTCTGCTATCTCTGTTGCTGTATTGCCTTTTGCACCCAGGTACATCAGAGCCAGAGCAGATGATATGCTCCAGGGGGAAAAGAAAATGTTTTTGCCCTTGTTGGCCTCATCCATCTTGTTGAAAAGATCAACTGTAAACTTGCCAACTGATGTTGATACCAGTTCCATTGCTGCGACCTGGAAAGAGGCAGGAGACAGAATTGTACTATTTGGGTGTATAAAATTACATACGCAGTGCATATTAGTGAGAAATGTTAAGTGTGCAACACTTAACGTTGTGGGTGCATTGGCAGCCACTAAAACTAACAGCCTAGTTGTATGTTTTATCTTCCACACAGATGCTGTTTCCCACCTGTTAGAAGTAGCAATTTCTTTCAGATTTTTGTTATCCAAATAATACTTTCCTATAATTTTACATATGTCCTCTACTATACAGCTGCCATTTTCTTTGTATTTCTTTCTGCCTTTGGTTTTCAAAAATATGAAAACTTGTAAGCTGCTTATTTTTCTTCCTTTTTGCCACTAACTAATGATTTATCAAAGTAATGTTCTCTGGGGAAGGTAAGTGCAAGTTTAGTACATAGGTTCACAACACGCCTGATTTTCCCATTTCTTCCTTTTGAATCTATATAGAATTGAGAGCTGAAACTGGGGAAGAGTTTAGGCATAACTCTTAGGCTCGTGTGCTTTTCCTGTCCAGCCACCTATTCTGGTATTTGCTTTTAGAGTGATAAGAGTTTTATTCATGATGTATACCACCCATCCCTCCCGTATGTTCTAGCAATTTTATTTTCCCCAGAAACTGGCAGATTCCTTGAGGTTATGAGTATTCCAGACTTCAAAATATCTGCCCAATAGTGCTTGCCTCATGTTTTCCAGTTAACAGACCAGAAATTTTGTCATTGCTGTTATTGTTGTTGTTAATATTATTATTAAGATTTATATCTATGGAATGGAGCAACAGAAATTGTGCAGCAATCTCTGAAGTCTATTTATCAAGTGTTTGGTTGCAAACCACTGCAAACTGAAGATATTAATTAATAAGACAGTTACTGCCATAAGAAAACTTCCCTTCTTGTGATGCTATGCCCAGAATTAACATTTTTTCCTTAGCCTCGGAGATCTATTTTCTCTAAAGGTTGACATGTAGAAAAATATTAGGCCAGAGTAATGCACTGTAACAGTGGTATATTTTAAATTACTTACACAGTCATGAGAGCCACAAACTGATTTTTAAAAGTATCAGAAAAGTTACTTGAATTGGTTTAAATATTTACCTCTAATCCTGTGAGAGAGAAGACTTATGTCTTGTCCTCGGTCAGGTTCTGTGTTTGTGTGTTAAGCAAGGAACACGTTTAGAAATACAGCACTGCTTGCACCTCCCTTTCCTTCTCCCCTCCAGCCAGGTTGTTTCTGCCTACCCAAAGTTCCTTTTTACCACATCCCCAAAAGACCTTATGTAATTTTGTCCTCTTTGTTGACCTTGCCACTTTTCATATTTAGACATTTCAAAAGGACAATGGACTTAAAATCTCAGCACTGCTGTTACACCATGATAGTCTGCTGACAGGATAGAAGAACAGTTCAACCATTCCAATGGTCTGCTGGAATTGTGGAGATAAGTGAAGATAACTGGTCTGTCATTTAAAATAAATGACTAGTAAAAAGGTTACATAACTAGAATGCTTCTTTTTCATTTCTGGATATAAGCAGGTATTTTAGGCCTGATTCTCCTCTGCAGCTTCATGCAGCTGTGACTCCTGGGTTTCAGATGTGATACGTCAGCAAAAAATGTCAAGCTTAATGATTGGTTTAGACACAAGGAGTCAAAATTCAGACTGAAGATCGTTAAGAGCATAAGCAGACCCAAGGCCTTGAAGGACTATTCAGGATAAGGGATGGACACCCCGCTGGTTATGTGGTGAAGAAATCTCATTGCAACCATGGCTGGGAATCATTTGAGAGAAACGCTGCAAAGCACTGAGTTAGTGCACAGTACTTGCAGGTAGTGAAGGAGGGCAAGGACTAAAACAACCCCACTGGGAGGGCTCGAGCAAGGATGGAGTGAAAAAACAACAGTGAGGGCAAACATGGCAGTAGCTGTCATTCTGCAGTCCCAGAAAAGAGCCAGGGTACTGTTGGGTAGTGGAAGAAGGAGAAGGTGGTGGCAACAACTGTAAGACCCTGGGTGACAGGGGAAGGGGAATGGAGGAAGGGAAGGAAACTACTGTGTGCTAAGCATTTTGCTGCAAGCCTGATTACAGGAACAGAGTGGGTCAAGTCTTGTAAAATGTGGCAGAAATCAGTGTTGTGCAAGGCAATGAAGAAATGCCAGAAATTAAACAAATATTTAATATGATGAGTAAGTCCTCAAGAAATCAGGATAGGAGAAAGGTCAGCTGAATGGTTAGGTAGTGGGAAAGCCCAAGCCAGGAGGCTCCAGCTCCCAAAGAAGTATGCTGAGAGTGAGCAAGCTAGCTCCCTTTGCTAGTGAGGTGCAAGAATGCCAGGCAGGATGAAGAAGGGAGGTAGCAAGGTAGAATGGCTGCTGACAAGACAGAGAAAATCACACACGTTAATTGAAAGGGACATCCAGAGGCCAACCTCCTGCTTGGGCCTTTCTGGGAAACTTCTCTAGTGCTGTGCTGCTCACTTGGCAAAAAAGTTGTTCCCTAATGTGCAGCTCACCCTTTAAGTGTTGTGGCCATTGCCACTTGGTAATGATCTGGCACTACCAAGAGGACATTAATTCTGTCATCTTTGCTACCAGGCTTAAGAGAGTCAAAGGAAAGAGAAAAGGTGACTCACATTTCCATTGTCTTTAATGGCCTATGATTTGGTTTGGGTGCATGTTGTCATATCCTTGGCATCCCAGCTGTGGCTTTCCTGTCTTTATTCCTGAGGCACATCAGGAAGCGCTTAAGAGGCTTGGCCATGGTTACATAAAGCCCATGCATTAGGTGAAGCATGGCATGGAAGAATAGCACATGAACGCACAGGGGTCCTGTGTCATGTTTCACAGCTGAGGCACAGGTAGTGCTATTGAGATGGTATGGGGATAGAATTAAGCACTTGCTTCACAACACTTTTCCTATGCTCTTTCCTATTTGGGAAGCAGAGCCAGAAGCAGCCCTGGAAGCAGCTAGCCACATGAAGAAAATAAAAAGGACTCAGTCCCAGTCAGCAATCTGCTCTCTGTCAGGAAAAGGGAGTCCTGCAATCCCAAGCAGAGAAGTTTCTAGTAAGATGCTGTTGCAATGTGCAAGTCCTGTAAAAGACCCAGTCCTTTGCTCTCTGTTGTGAATTCAGAGAGTTAGGAGCATCCCCTGCAAACACGCGTGACTGATTAAGACACTCTTTTAGGAGAAAGAGCTGTGATGGGAGTAAATATGTTCTGGGATGTGTTGTGGTTTAAGCCCAATCAGTAACTCGGAACCACGCAGCTGCTCGCTCAATCCCCTCCTTCTTCCCCTCCCCGCTCCCAGAGGGATGGGGAGGAGAACTGAAAGAATGTAACTCCCACGGGTTGAGAGCAGAGCAGTCCAGTAACTAAGGTATAATACAAACCACTGCTAATAATGATAAGGGAAATAACAAGGAGAGAGGATACAATTGCTCACCATCCGCCGACCGATACCCAGCCCGACCCCAGCAGCGATCTGGGCCTTCCAGGTGACTCCCCCCAGTTTCCATATTGGACATGACGTGCTGTGGTATGGAATACCCCTTTGGCCAGTTTGGGACAGGTGTCCTGTCTCTGCTTCCTCCTGGCTTCCCCTCCTCCCTGGCAGAGCATGAGACTGAGAAAGTCCTTGGTCAGAGTAAACATTACTGAGCAACAACTAAAACCATCAGTGTTATCAGCGTTGTTCCCAGGCTGAAAGTCAGAAACACAGCACTGCACCAGCTACTGAGATGGAGAAAAAATGACTGCTGTAGCTGAACCCAGGACAGCATGTAATCTTCCAGAAGGCTCTAAGGGAGTCAATATTAAAGGCTTGATTGTCCGATTTGATCTTGCCTCAAACTAGTGAAATAAGTGGCAAAGCAAAATGAGAGTAAAGCAGTGAAGTGCTGGGCTGGCAACAGTGTGGAATGCATGAAAGGTTACAAAGGAGAAGGTTTCAAGGCATATGTGTTTTATTTTCTTCCAATTCTACAGTGTCGTCCAATATTTTCCAATTGCTGTGGAACAGAGATTAGAAAGTACATGCGTTAGCCCCGTTAATGCAAGAAAGAAGCATCATCAGAAACACAGAGGATTTTGCAGGTTTATTTAATTGTCAGATGTGTCAGCCTACAAAGCTGATATAAAACTGGCAAGAATGTGGGTAAAGTAGCTGTCATGGGATGACCAGCTTAGTGAGCTGAAACTAATAGAGATGCAACAGCCTTTGCAGGAACGAATTTTTCCTGATTCTTTTCTTCTTATGTACCAAAGCAAGTGTGTTTGGAATTACTGGTTTAGATCAGAACTTGGTATGTTCTGCATTGTGGCAGTTCTGGTTTAGAAAGTGTGTTGTTCTGTGCACGGTTTGGTGCTTATAGCATAGTGCTAGCATTTTGGGGTTCTTTGGCCAGGAAAATGAGCTAGAGGCATGAATTCCAGGTTATTTTCCATATGTGCTCTCTTCTAACATTGAGATATTTGTCAACAGTACAGGAAAATTAAGAAGTGCACAGACTATTGAGATGCTCTTCATGGTATGCGATTTGTTCATTGTTGTTGCAAAAGTCCATTTAGTAAGTGTTGAGTTTCTATGGGGAAGAGAATCTTCCCAAGAAGAGGATACTTTTGGTCTTGTTGTGCCTAATAAAGAAGAGGAAAGGGTGATCTGCCACAAAAATGACAGTAGCACCAAGACTTCGTGATGCCAGTGTTGCTGAACTGGCAGCTGCTGCCTCTGTGCCTTCTTCATTGACTTCCAGATAACACTTGTGAAAAACATGTGACAAAAACAGATCACCATTTTCTGACATTCCTGTAAAATCAGCTTGACCTTCAACGAAGACGTCTTGTAGCCCCATCCTGCTCAAAGTAGATTTGAGGTCGTATTTCTCTTCTAATGTGAACCTGGGCAAATAAACTTCCATTTTCATTTTCTCCATCAGTTCAGGGCTGGTCCATGCAGACAAGTTTTCAAAAGTCAGTTCTTTTTCTAGCTGCAGTTAATCAAAAGAGAATCAGACAGTTAAAATGTGTTCAAAAACCTGTGCACTAAGGGCTATTTCTTCTCTTAAATGGAGACCTTTACAAGCTGTTCTAAGAGGGTAAGAGAAAAAGTAGGGAATTGGGGATCTTTTTGGCTGAAGGACTATGTTGTTCTACAGCAGGTCAATGCAGTATTTTAACTGTTCTCAGTAACTGTCAGGGAATATAGCAGGGTTAGAGAGTTCTAGAACAAAAGCATCAGTGTCAAGTAACAGTAGTCTGGTTGAGTTTTAGTAGTAGTAGTTTTTCAGTAGTCTGTTCACATTTCTGTATTCCCTGCATTTCAGAATTTAGTGAAAACAGCTTTTCTTCTACAGACACCCACTAACGTGAATGAGAATTTAATTAGTTATCCAAAGGCAGGATCTGTCTCCTTACAGAAGGTGGCAGTGTCCATATGTGTTAGCTCTGGACATCCTGGAAAGTAATGGAAGATGCCCGGTTTGTGGTTTGGTTGGGATTTTTTTGGAATTAAATCATATGTCTGAAGTGATACAGATTGGATCTCAGCAGGGCTGGCTAGCTGTCCTCAGTTTTGTTCAGCTGGAAGAAGAGCCAGTCTGGCAGTTTGGGTTATTTGTTTCTAAGACTGATCAATATTAGGAACCACAGAAGTGCCAGCTACCAAATCCAGTCTGAGCTCCAAGAGGTTCAAGTTCATAGTGCTAGACCACATTTGGGATTTGCTTTTCCTTGAGCCTGATCAGTACCCTCCTTCCTAGAAACATGACTGCACCCTGGTCTTTTACCTTGCACATACATAAAGTAAATAACGACACTCTTGATTTTTCAGATTATTTATGTTCTCAGTTGCGTTACCTTTTGTAGGCCGGTGATGTCACTTGGTAGAAGGATAAACATGCTGAGGTCATTATTGACATATGGAAGCTCAAGAACATCAGTCTGGACTGATTCTACGTAGGTCCAGTTAAACTTATCACTCAGGTACATCATAGGCACTGGTTTAGTTGTATGCTGCAACAAATCAAATTAAATGTTAGACATTTGTACTCTGACTAAACAGTAAAGGACTGAGTTAAAGTAGCACAGTGGATATTTGTTGTATTTACTGTACAAACTGCCAGTGTGTGGAGACATCTTTATGGCTCCAAGTGGTAGGACACAGGACCTGCAGAGGATCTTCTGGAAAGACATTTGGAGGCTAGGCAGGCTATCTAAACTGTCTCAGATGACACCCATTATAGGAAGCTGCATTCCACTCTGATTTGTAACTAAAAATGAAAACTTAAAGATCTAACCCATGAAGTTTTGTTCACCTCTTGTTTCCTCTGTTTGCCTTTGGAGAACAGAAGCTTGTTTCATGTCAGCTTCTGACAATTTTACTTCTGGCTCAGGTGCTAGTATGTTTCTGTAGTCTTTGTGTTGATGTGTGGTGAAGAAAATAAACTATATGCTTCAAATGAAATAATTTTCAGGCTGCATGGTTTTAAAGATTGACAGAAATTTCTCTCCCCCATCTCTTTCAGTTTTTTCCACCTGCAGTGTAGTATATAGTACAATATATTCCCATACCATGTTTATTTTGAAAGGCCTTTGCCTGGTGGCTTCAGCTTCAAATTTTGTTGCCCAGTTTCCTTTGAAGTAGAGTGCGTTTATCAGGACTAGCCTGGTGAGTGAATCTACAGATCCAGGAGGCAGCAGATTTTGAATTTTACCTAGAGAAAACAGGGCATTTACACGTTAGTGCAGATTTACTGTTTCAGTGTGTGTGTTGGCAAAGTTTCTATGGATATAAGCCATGGAAATTCTAAGTGTTGATGTAGCATGCATCCATTTTGAGATTATTCACAAATATGTGCTTACTGGGATAATCTAGATTTGCAGGGAAGAGTAAGCCACATTCCTCACACATTCAGATGGAGGACACTAATTTTTTTAAGCAGTTGTCAGTAGATGACTACTTTAGGAAAACTCATCTGATTTACCTTTCTGAGGAGAATTGTTTAACTGCCTTAGGCCACTTGGATACAGAGACTTTCTTCAATGCTGAAATAGCATTTCTACTGAGAGAGGAGAGGCTGGAGCTTACCTTCAGTCTGGTGTTCAACTTTGGAATTGATCTCTCTTCTGATTTCATCTGCTGCTCCCACAAAGTCAACTGACTGCGGCTCTGCACTGTAATATTTCTTGACTAACTGTAAGTATTCCTGCAGTGCAAGAGAGAAACCTGTCTTATCTTTGTTGCCTGCCAAAATGAATGCTAATAAATAGCTACAGCCAAAAAGAGAGAAAACATTATAAAAATTACCTAGGCTACAAGCACAGCATTTTGTCAAAGAAACAAATTATTTTTTATTTTAAATACACAATTTATGTTCTAAAACAGTCTCACCTAACTGCAGCTGTAGATTATTCTGAAATCAGATACACATCCAATAAAACTAAAATTTTAGTGTCCAGTGTCTTGGGAAAAGTCTCATAGAAAATATTCATATTAAGGACAACAACACGACTCGCAGGTGTAATGAAAATATTTTAAATTACATGGTTTATGGTATCTTGTCACAAATAGATCATAAAGGTTAAATGACAGTGCATAATCTGAATAAATGGCCTACCTACCTTACTGAAAGGCAATGATTTTTCTCCATATAGCTGGTTCACACTTTTAAGGAGGTAATTTTTAGTGGGTTGGTTGATTTCGAAGTTGAGTGCTTTAAACGCAGTATGGATAATATCCGATTTGCCAATTTCTGTCTTGAAGGGAAAAAAAAAAAAAAAAAGACATTATCTCTCTGTTGTGTAAAATAGTTCAAAATTTCAAATATTTTCCTTCAAGCAGCTCCAAGTATTTCTATTCAGGTGATCTGTTATCTGTATTCTGGTGCAAGAGGTGGTCTAAACTGTACAGCTGTTAAAAGAATAATTTGAAAGTATTAAAAGTTGCAGAGGTGGTACTGACACTGTAAATATCTAGACGAAAGCATCAAGAGCCTGCACTATGTAAAACATTTAAGGGTTTGTAAGTGGAATTTTGAAACTAAGTGTATCCAGAGAATGAGAGACGGATTGTAAGTGTTAAAAAATGCATGAAAATGTGGCTGTGTCACTCCTTTCACTTATGAGAGTTAGTGTATTACATGGAAGGTTTGCCCCTAAATTTCTTAATCTTGCTCTTAATGTTAATATTTTGTGATTTTTTTTTAATGTTACAGTAATTGTAGTAAATTCTTTATATTGAAGTAACAGGATTAAATGAATGGGGCACAGTCTCTCAAATGAGCTCAAAGAAGTTAAGCTGTGAATTAGTAAACTAAAAATCTGTACCTGTGCTGTATTCATCTTGTCATTACATTAGAATCAGAGGCATTAACAGACACATTTGTGAGCTTTGCCCTACCCACAGCACTCTCTAATTCTTACAATTCGGACAAGCATTGCTCATGAGGAACAATCCGTCTCCTGTTCATGCAGTCTAAATGGTTATTGACATAGCCCCTAAAATAAATCTTCCCACCACAGGGTTTGGCTATGGGATGCAGATCCAAGTGCCCATTCATCAGAACTTGCGGTCGCTGGGGCTTTTTGGGCAGACTGCAGGGAAATGGCTCACTCCCACAAAGAAGGATGACAGGAAAAAGCAGGGAGAAGAGCTTGGCTCCACCACGGCTGGATTGTCAATGAGGAAAAGCAGCGTTTACTGACTCAGAGGGATTACACTTGCTTTTCCATATTTTTCTGCTATGTTAAATTGTGTATACTTTGGTACAAGATGCCTGCCAGTAAGCCAAAGAAATATCTCAGGAATATGATTTACATTTCACTAAGGCTTATTACAAGCAACTGGTCTTTGGAAATTCCATGTCGATTTATTTTGTTAACTAATCAACTGAAATGGAGACTAATTTCTTAAACATATTAAGCACAGGTAGCCTAGAAAAGTTAATGTTCTGTTTTTTGTTGTCTTGATGCTGCAATCAAACGTGTGGAAGGGCAGCTCTATTCGTGTGATTAGCTCTCTGAGGTAGGAACCACGCCTGTTCAAAGAACAGGTTGCTAAATAGCTAGCTATTGAACAGTAATAATTTGAGAAAGAAATCTCTCCTCAGAGCTAAAGGAAAAGGATCAGGAGACCTATTGAGAGAGAATGGCAACATTAAATTTTAAATTTTGCAAATTTGAGGTTAGTTTTTGCAATTCTGCCTAAAAAGAGGAAACATGTAGTAAGTATTGCATTAGGTGAAGGTATCACAGGATGCTGTACCAATTAATTGTGTACACTACGTCTGAGGAAGGCAAACATGCAAATGCAAATGTGGAAAGAAAATACAAGCAAGAGAAGATGTGACTATGCCCATAGTTGATCACTAGATTTGATGAGATACCTTCTGGAAACAAGTACATCGGTTTGCTAGACGCTCTTCTGTTCTGGAAAAGACTTGCATTTTTATGGTTGTGATGACATTCCTGGCTCCTTCAACTTTGTTAAAGTGAAGTACCTATAGTGGAAAAAGCAATAATAAATGCAACGATAGAAAATTTGCCATTGCAGTAAAATCTTTCAGTGATGTCATGGGACTGGTGATGAAGAAAGCCAAACTCAGATTTCATCCTTGCGTCCAGTCCTGACTGAATATGAAATCTTTGGTTGGGTCTCAAGGTCCATGTGTACAAAATGACTTGTGCACACTAAGCACGCACTTAAGGCTGCAGGGCAAAACTTTCATGTACCTGGCCTATCTAGAGGAATCTACCTCCTTTGAGTTGCAGGTAGATTCCTCTAATAGGAATGCCCTGGGCTGACCAGTAAATACTTGGGAAGAGCCAATTATCTGCCAGTGGAGGCTACCAAAGCACAAGTCTAAATTTAGTGCTGCTATGTGTCAGAAGGCATGAACAATAGTGCAGGCAGCTTCATGCCTTAAATCCCTTGTTCTGAGCAGGTACACTTTACCCAGGCTACAAAGGGGTGCATCCAGCCTTGGAATATTTTTTTGGAAGAGCTATGCCCTCTTTTTTGTTTGTTTGTTTTCCCTTCTTCTTAACAGAAGATCACTCCCTTGTCTGTTACCCTATTGGCCCTCTTCTGTCATGTAAATCAGAAGTTAGATCTGCCTTAGCAGGTTGGACAACTTCTGCTTTAGCAGATGCAAACTCACAAGCCTCACCTCCTAAGATAGGAGCTAGATAACTGCACTGAGGTTGTTCCCACAGCCACCTGCTGAAGCTATGAACTTTACACAAATATGAATTACAAATTTCAGCAGATTACAGATTTTGCCTGTAAAATACATATGCCAAAGTAAGGCTTGTAGTCTCACCATGTTTCTTCTCTGATCTGGTGGAAGTGGATTTATGTTTAGCAAAGTGCAAAACTTATAATAGCTATAGAGGAGAGTCTTTTTGTGTGAGGTCATTTCCTCACACATGGCAAGACATGAGATGGGAATTGTCTGTGGCAGAGTAGAAGGAGAATCCAGGTGTCCCATTCTCTGCAAAGTACTCATCCTAGTTACTGATCTTTGGAATAAAGATCCCGTATTTCTACTGGTGGAAAGTGTCACCAGTGTCACTTCTTTCATTTGTTGAGGGACTGTTTCCAGAGGCTAGAGTAGACTATTTTTTTGATCTGCATAAGTGGAGAAGTGGTCTATTCATTGCAGTGCAGTCCTCTATTCATGGAGGAAATGGGAGCTAGCATATATGTGTGTAGAGTTTTGATTAATGTTTCTGCTTATGGCTTTCCTCTGTTCCATCACAATAAATTTCTTCCATAGAGGAAGTTATTCCAAGAGACAACCCCTTCAGATAGCTAACTTGGAAGCTCAGACTCACCTTTGCCATCTGATCTACTGTGTTACCTTTGGCTCCCAAATAAACAGTAGCCAGGGCCGATGAAATACTCAAAGGGGAGAACAAAATATTCTTGTCACCATCTTCCTGACACTCATGTTTGAAAAAGTCGAGAGCAAAGCTTGTGTTTGCTTTATTCAAAGCTTCCATTGTCCTGAACCTGCACAGAAAGGGAGAAAAGATGCTATTAGCAAACCACTAATTATGATTGATATATGTCTGCAAGTTTCTCTTTGTTTTTTGAATGTTCTTTTGTGATTTAAAGGATTTCTAAAGGTATTTATCTATATTAAGAATGAGGAGGATTAACCATTATAATTTCAGACAAGGTTTAGCACGTCCTGTTTCACTGATGACACTAGCTATCATTTAGGTTAGGGGAAAAGCAGCCTCCAACCTTGTTTTGTATTTGTTCATCAGGACAGTTATTGCACTGTCCTTTACAGCATCTTGGAGTGACAGCTGGTAATGTTATTCACCAGTGCCTGAGCTAGAGGATACTGAGAGACTGTCTTTTATGACAACTTTTATGCTTCAGTTTCAGCAAGAGCCTTTTGATGCTCGTAACTGTAGTGAACAAATACTCTGTTAACAGTAACAGTCAAACTATTCCTTTAGGGTATTCCTTAGGACAAAATATTTCTGCCAATGCTTGGGCAAGCATCGCCCTGACTTTTGTATGCTAAGCATCCTGAATTCCCATTTTGGCTTTCAAAAATGTCCTGAAACTCTGTCTTACAGTGCAATCTGAGATCCTAGCTTCCCAATTCTTCTGCTGGACAAAGTTTCCGTATTCAGTAGACCACAGATGTTGCTATTTTGTCATTTGCATTGCAGGTTTACCTGAGAGCTCTAGGTAGGGACTAAATGGCCTTAGATTAAAGACTGTTTGTGTCCTGAGTAACTTGTAAACCAGGAGCTGACCTGATGTTCTTAAAAACTACAGAGCACATGAACAGATTAGCTGACTTAGGCAAACACAGTGATTCTTACTTTGCTATGATAGATATGCTAGCCAGTGAGCTCTAGAGATCATAGAACTCTGTACAATAAATTGTTCTTCCTGTATAAGACATCCACCTTCTAGACCACGCCTGTGCAAGAAAATCACTTTCCCAAGCATTTTCAATTTCCAATTCAGATCTCTACTTCCTTTCTTTTCTATGCATTTGTCAGATAAGCAACACCATCCAAGAGTATATGGAATAAGTAATCGGCAGAAATCATTACAGTACCTTGTTCTGTGCAGGGAGGATCACTGCTGTTCTGGCTGTCTCCAAGGTTTCTGCAGTTCACATGGAAAGTAGAGAGAATTTATAGTGGACAGTTCTTATGACTCATGACTGTGCAATTTAGTATGCCCTGTAGGCCACAACCCACATTCAGAAGAACTGAATCATCTCAGAGTAGGATGTGAAGTGATGGTGAGAATGATACCATACAAGAAACTTACAAAACTGACTGCACAAGTATTTCTATAAACACCTTTCTGGCAACAGGCTAGTAACAACTTGAACCCACACTACTTTAAACAACTTTTCTTTTGTGGTTTGGAGGGTTTTAAAATTGCAGTTGCTGGCATACTTCTTTTATGATCTGTCTAATTGAAATTAGATGAATTAACTGAACAAACAGAAGACAGTGACTTCTTATATTTGAGTTTTTCTATTGTCTGTTTCCTACTGAGAAAGTATTTGTCACTCCTGGTGGGTTTCTATTTTAGAAAAATGGATTTTGTTAATCTGAAAATATTCTAAGACTGTACAACCAGGGTCATGTTGTCACTGTAGGATAGTAAAGGTTGAGAAACAGGCACCGGACCTTTGCTTTTTTAATCACTGGTGACTAGAACCTGGTGTGGGTCTTAGGTTTGGCTTTATTTCTCTTCTGCTTCTGTTTCTCTACCCTAATCTGAAAGCTGCTGTTTGACCAGTGTAGCACCTTAGAGATCTTTTCCTTATTTTCCCTTCCATAAATGGATATTCTGCCAAATTCTCTCTTTTCCCCCCGCCTTGTCCTAGCTACTAAAACATCTCCTTCCCAGATTCTCCTTGAAGTCATGCTGTCCTTTCATCTGTTATCCTTTTTGTAGCTGTCCATCCCCTCTCTAACTCGTAATTGAAAACCCCTGTGTAATCCTTTGATGAAAACCCTTGCCCTTTATTTCATTCCTTACCTTTCTGCGCTGTTGATAATACCACCTCATTATGAGCTGCTTGTCTATTCGCAACTGCCTCCTCGACACTGAGCAAGACTCACTCTCAAAGTCTATCTCCTCAGCATAAACTGCCTTTTGAGAGCTTTTTTCTGACCTGCTGCCTACAAGCATACATTTAGCATGGACACGTGTCAGTGGCTGGCACAGAGGACCCTGTAATGAGGAACGAGCCATGGGAGTACCTGCAAAATTTGGTGTAGGACATAGGAGAATGCAGCTGCAAAGAGTCCCTTGCCAATGGTGACCCTTCTGCATCAATATAATTTGAAAACCGAAGGCTTTGTAAAAGTTGCTTTCCTACCTGTGAGGAACTGTGTGACTTTAATCAGATGGTGTTTTCCTGCCTCTAGGGCCTTTTGAAATTGTAGATGCACAAAACCAGCAGGTTTCAGTGTAAGTTATAATTAGATGCATCTGCGAGGTTTTCCAGAGAGCAACATAGTGTAGGAGAGGTGTTCACTGCATAATTAATTGCTTCCATCATGCCTGGGAAAGTTGTAATCTGTTTACATTGGCCTTAAGTGATTCCCAAAGCTAAATGATTCGTGTAATCTTTACAAATTTAGCCACATTGTTGAATGAGTGATAGATAACACTGTGTAGACTTTATCCCTTAGAGCAATTACTGTGGATTTTCTGGTTTTAAAATGGATGAATTTAATTTGCTAACTTATAATATTGCTTGCTGCTTTACAAGAAGTGCCTGAGGTGTTCTGCTTATGCAGAAATTCTGGGCTACAGGGAATGAGCAGCTTGTGCCTTTGTACAGGACTTTAAAGCTTCCGTTTTAAAACACCTTTTGAATGGCGTGGCTGGTTATTAGCAAAAACCAAAAAAAGCATACTGAGTAACTAAAATCATACTCATCTCAAAGGACAACATACGCTAAATCAATGTGATGAACTGATAACGTTTTCCAATATCCTTTTAAAGTAGCACCACCAGAGGACTCAGTTCATTGGGTGGTGCTACTTCTGACTCAGGAGCAGCGGTACTCTCACTCCCACTCTATGCTAAGTCAACACATCTGCACAGTAGAAGACTTATATTTGTATTAATAGTACCCTTCCTGAGGAAGTAAGCTTGTGGGCTGTCTCACTGTAGTCATTCCAGTTTATATTTGGTCAGGACAAATACTGGCAGGATATCAGTGATGTGGCCAGGTCTAAGCTATCAAATGCATTTTGTTTTCCTCCAGTTTCAGTATAACTTAGCACAAGTCATTTCGACTTTCTTACACAGCACGTTGTTCTGTTCATTAGCACCTGGATTCAGGAGTAGATGAAATGCTTGATGTCTAAACAGAGCATAATAAAGTGCTCTTTAAAGGCTCTTGAGGGTCTTGAGAGAAAGACTTTCTGTCACAGAAAAATGGCAGCTTCTTCTTTCACACAGTATTTTAGGATACAGCTTTCCATGGCTGGTTTTCATGTTCATTGGTGGTATATTTTAGCTATCAACTCTGTACAGCTTTTGGAAATCTGATTTAAATCAAAACTAACAGATGTTCTATATTTCAGGCAGATCAAAAGAAAAAGTGATGTTTGAAGAAAAGCTCTTCAGTTTCCCTGACATCTTCAAATATTTTTTCACCAGTATAAGCACTGTTTATTTACCTGGGAGGGAAGAATTCCTGGTCCGGGCAGCAGCACACTCTATTCAGGTTTTTGGCTCAGCCAGAGCAGGCCAGTAGATTATAAATATGAAAGGATTTAAATGTCCCAAAACCCTTAAAAGGATGTCAGAGATACAACAATGATGGGGAGGAGAAAGGTTTTGAAATCTGAGAGTATTTTAGTCCCTGATTAAATTAATCCCTGATGTATTTTTCTCTAAATCTCTGTGTGATTTACAATTCAAAACTGTAGGGAGGACGGGGCACAGCAACTGAGAAAATAGTGATGGTGCTGAGTGACTAAATACTTTTCTGTCCTAAGGACGACGTTCATCTGGGTGATGCCTCTGTCATAATGTAATTGAGAGCACGGCATGAGCTTTTCCTAACCTTGTCAGCTGAAAGAAAAAAAATAATAAGTTATATGCATCACCTAGACTGGTTATAACAGATTTTGGTTTGTACTATAACAGATATTTATTTAGGATAAATTTGTACTACCCTGAAATCTCAAATAGTTTTTGAGAGATTGGTTCTTTGGATATCTTCTTTCTTTTTAAGGCTTTGGTTGAGAATACACGTGTCTTTATTTTGAAACAGAGTATATATTTATCTGTTGTGTGCCTCCTACGAGTAAGTTGGCGAGCCTTCCCTTGCCAAGCAATCCTTGCTGACATATTCTAACAGTATTTAAAACCATATGAGTTGCCAGAGGGTGTGGTGGGGTTCCTGTATAACTATTATTGAGGCATTTTGACCCACACCTGCAAAAAGCAAAGGTGTGGTGAAATTTGACAGTACTGGCTCAGTTCATCATACTTTACTATTATTTCTACATGCTTTGGCTTTGACACTGTAATTAATAAAGGTAGTGTTTGTTCTGTCTCTGTTAAGAAGCACAACACTTCCGAGAAAGGACTGATCTCTATATCTGAAAAGAGATAGTTTATCTCTTAATGAATATGCACACAGTTTTCACATACACAAGGGTGCAGCCTTCCTTTGAATGACGCAGGTGGTGAGCATTTATAAAGTATCCCAGGTTAACATCAAAAATATGAAAACTGCCCAGAATTTCTCAATCGTGATACACAGTACTGCGTCGTGAGTAATGACATGTGGCTTGTATGCGCTTTATCCGAAACTTGTCATTTTTCTAAACAAATCTCTCAAAGGGTGTAACTGTACGTCAGCTGCACAGCTACTGAATCAGAAAGCTGATCCCTGCTTTGCATTACTGGGAGTTTCCCAGGCACAGTGCCATAGTGCAACATGTGCCATGTTGTGTGGGATGAACAGTGTGAGTATCAAGTCAATGTACCTTCAAACCACGTTTCTAAACAAGAGTGCATCCTAAGCAGGAGCCTTGTGCTGATGTGCAAGAGCAGGGTACAGAGGAAATGCTCTCTTTTAAGAAACCCAATTAAACATTTGCTGGTTTTGTCATATAGCTCCACTGCAAATATTCTTGCCTGGTGGAATGACCAGCCATTTACACAAGGCAGTTGGTATTTTCAGAAGTTTCATCAGGAGAATTTCCCCAAAACTCACTTGTGGAAGTGTACTGGATATCTTAGCTGTTCACTGAGCTGCTTGGCAGCTACTGGCTCTTTGTAATTTCATGCTTCTTAGGCTGCTGTTGGGACTGGTCTGAACTACCTGGTTTAATACACATATGAAGGCAATAGGCCTTTGTTCTGGAAGAAAGTAACTCCCAAAAGGGGGCTTGGAATGGAATTTTCCTCTCAGACTGGCAAGGACCATGGGTGAGCTTGAGTGTCATTAGCATTATTGGAACATGTCTTATCAATGCCTTTGCCACTGCAAGATTCTTACATCTTCCCATCTCTCATGTTCTTTGCCTGTTGCACAAAGGAGCTCTGTCTCTTGAGACCTGACATTCTTTTATATGGTTCAAGTTAGCAAGCTTTTTGTAACAGTGACAAGTAGAAATTAATGACATGATACATGGCAGGTAAGACAAAATGATACCATGTTCCTTTCTGCCCTCAGACAGAATGAGATGGAAACTTTTGATTTTATTCCTCAAGCTTTTGTGAGAGATACAAAAGTGTGAACCCACATGGCAACGCACTGAGGGCTTTCCTTTAAAATATCCTGATGACCATCTGCTCTTCTTTACCACAGCATTTCCAAGCTCTTTGGAACTGCCCTTTCCAGTTGTGATTCAGCTGTATGCAGATCTTCATGGCTTCCTTATCTTTTGGATTGGTATTTTTGACTCTTCTAGCTCTTTCAAAGCCAAAAGCAGGACTCTCTTTGTATAGTTTAAAACTAGTGCAATTGTCCTTTTCAGCTGCTTTAGACTTTTCTTTCTTCTTGAGTTGTATCCCTTCATATTCTAGAGCTTTGGCTTTATCTTCCGAGGCTTTCTTCATAACCGTTGCTTCTGTAGTTGCCAATTCCTTGTCTGGGA